GCAAGGTATCTCTGGCTAAAACTAGCTAACGTTAAAGTTAGTGAGTCCATACAAATCTAAATAGCGGACTGTTCTCGCGTCTTGTACAGTGTAGGGCAAAAACACGTAAACGAAGGTCTACATTTCACTGTCTCTTCCTATTAAACTGGTTAAATGTAAATTAATTAAATCGTACCCTGCGATACATGAACAGTGTTGAATCGGGATGTTGTTATCTGCGATCGTGACAAACGTAACATGAGGCTTCTCCCGCTTGCATTGTGATCTGTAAACCCTCGCTTCCAAATTAATAACCACAATATTTATTTACAATCTTTCATAGACCTGTCTAAATGCAATAAATATAAGCAACACATTATTCTACGGTTTTTACTTCTAGATTTACATGTAAAGTTGCTCAAGCAAGTGGCAAAACATTTAAACTAGCCTACTTTTATATTTGCTCAAGCAAGTTGCAAAACAAACTTTTGTTACGTTATCACAAACATTCTAAATTAAAACTTTTCACTAACAAAAACAGTTAGTTGTACTGCCTTTTCTTTTGCATTTGAATCTTTGTTGCAAGCAATCCTGTGGTTAATAAAGAACTTTGTTTTCCTACCTCCACGAGTGCATCTATTATGTTGCCTTGTTTATCTAAAGTGCACTTTTCCTTGTTTTAAACCTAGCCAAAAAGCCATATGTGTTGACTTATGAAACACTTCAATTGTATGCATTTAAGGTGTAATTGCAAAATTTTTGTTTCAATCCATGTTCATTTTTACCGCAAACAATGTGCTGTCACTTTAATTCAGTGCGTGCAGCACAGCAAATAGACTCGGTGTGGAAAAGATCGCTGCACTTCTGCAAATGCAGTGTTCCCGTTACGCACTGCCGGTCCGGAAAAATATGCACCGCATACGCACAGCAAAAGGAGTATGTTGAACCTGATGACGTTACGTGTGTGCGCTTTCAGTGTGCATGAGCGCACCATCTCTAGGAGAGCATGTGAGTGCTGAATGGTTTAAACACCGGCAAGAATGAAAAGGAAGTGCAAATGATAAACTTTAGTGACGATGCGACGCTGCCTCGATTGTGCAAGTAATAATGCTGGGCGGTATACCGGTTCATACCGAATACCAGTGTTTATTTTTGTTATGATATTAATTTGTAAAATACCGCAATACCGGTGTATGTCGCTTAAACAACGTTCGGAACGCAACACTGTTTGAAAGGGGTCCCTTTTCACTGTTGCACTGTGGTGAGGGCACAGCTGTATGTGTTACTAAGCATGAAAGTTCAGAAACTGAAGCTGTAGAACTAATAGAACGTGATGACACAGAACAACTCATCCACATTGGATGCATCCACTCATCCATCATCCGCACTGACCGCCACAAATATCCACCGCCCCCTGCCATCAGCTCCCGCGTCTCACACACACGAGCGCGACTTTAGCACTAGATTTAGCAACTTTCAGACCCTTTTAGTGGCTTTTTTGGATAAACCTTAGCTATGGTTCAGTTGGAAGATTTTGTCAGTGCTGTCCCACGAACGCAAAGTCTGACTTTCCTGGAGAAGTGTCACCTCTCTCGGCGTCTGTTCTGTGCAGTGAGCGGCAGAGAAGCAGCGCATTCAGTTGAACGCACCGCAGCCGACTCGTCAATAAATGAGTACAAAACAGCGTTTCCTAGCACCTGCTGCTTAATGATTGCTTGGAATTATAAATATGAGCTTAGTTCATATCACACGCACTTTTTTTGTTTTTTTTAGATTGTTACTCAGATGCAGGCAGTGCGCTGTTCTAAGTCAATATACTGCAGTATTTCCTCTCTCAATCAGTAGAAAAAAGGGTTAACACCTGGTCATGCATGAAAAAAATAAAATAAAATACACCGTCATATACCGTGAAACCGGTCTAATTTTGAAAAATACCGTGATATACATTTTTGGTCATACCGCCCAGCACTAGCAAATAACAATTCCTGTGTCAAGTGCAACGTGCAGCTCGCTTCTAAATTGCTGATTTGAAGCTATTTGCACATTTTGAGAGGAAAAGAGAGAGAACACGCGGTGATTCACTCACACTCTTTGTGAAATTACATCTCACAGAAAGTTTTCAAATTAGGCCTACTTTGTAGATTATTTAATGAAGAAATATGAATTGTACCTCACCCTCAGCATTACAATTAGGGCTGGGCGATATATATAAAAAAATTATATCTCTATATTGTCAAAATTTTTACGATATTCGATATATATCTCGATATGTTATATACACAGCTTGTTTATTGGTGTTTTCAGATCATCGGTGGCAGCGCTTCCGCAATGAGGAGCGAGCGCGTGCGCATGGTTGCCAGATTGCTTAAAATAAGAAAAACACTGGGAAGAAAATGTATGCTTGTAACAGCGAAGTTCTGATTCGGGGATTTGAACTATTGATATCTGGCAACCGCACTCATGAAAGCTCGCGTAGTAGAGGAGTGTAGAGCAGTCCGCAAGAACATGTTGTCTCCTTTTTTGGACGTTCGGCGCATTCTTTTGGGAAAGTATGCTTGAATTTGAAATATTCGATATTCACGATATTTTCAAACTTTACATCGTCGTCAAAATTATTGCGATATTATCACTAATATTCGATATATCGCCCAGCCCCAATTACAATTATTTTGCCCGGACAGAGATTGAGACGGTGCCGCATGTCATGCCAAACCTCTCATGGCATGCGCATCGTCAGCTTGAGATCAGCTTATGAGATCTGCCTTTATAGAAACTGCCGATCAAACATCCCAAAGCGATTATCGGCCGATAGCGATCGGTAGCCGATCAATCGGAGCACCCCTAGCAGCAACAATGAAAATACCTTCTGAAACAGTCTGTTTCATCTCCATAACATTTTAGCAGTTAAGTTTACATCAAGTCAAGTCACCTTTATTTCTGTAGCGCTTTATACAAAAAACAGCTTCACAGTGAAAAACAGGAAAACAGCAGAATGAATTAGGGAAACTCAACTATGAAGACAGTTCTGCTCCAGGTTTTTTTAGGGAAAAAAAAGAAAGAAAGAAAGAAAAAGACTCTGGATCTCCAAAAAACCTTACTTTCGTAAATTGTTACAGTTTTTGGGGGGTTGAATAATTTTGATAGCAACCGTATGTTATCCACAGGGATTCATGTACGTGGTGTACAGGTGTGATCAAAATAAAAAAATCCAATGGGTAAATAAGTTCAGACCTCTCATTTGCATAGCAACATGGTTGCCAGCTGTTAATGCATAATCACCGTTTTAGATTGACTAACTGTAATACTGTATAAATCAAGATTTCCATTCAAACTGAAAGCATAAATCTAGGCTATGCACTGCTGGTTTCAGAGAAAATGCAAAACTGTGACATTTTATTCACTGACATGCTTCAGCTAATACCGAAAGCACATATACTTACTTGCCGGCAACCTATTAAAATAAGGGCTTGCTGATTTTAGGTTTGAAAATAATGAAAATTCATATAGAAATAAAAAAGTAAAAAATAAAAGAAAATGTAATTATTGTAAATATTAGCACTGTATGTTTTAAGCGTACTATTTTTTACTTAACACTCGCTTTTTATTGCAAAATATAATAGTATTGTACTTTATTATTTTGATTATTGTTTTATTAAAATAATGTTATTATTACTATTATTAATTTATTTATTTTTATAGTTATATTTAATCAGTCACACTATGTGCAAAAATCTCCAAGTGCTCTCATGAGAACCAGATGTAGAAAATAAACCTACAAAATAGTCTACCTAACTCTGTCAGCATTTACTCACCCTTGTGTCATTCCAAACCTGTATGACTTTCGTTCTTCTGCAGAACACAAAAGAATATCATTTTTAGGAAAGTGATTTTTATGTCCACACAAATGTGGTTTAGTCTGCAGTTACGACTGAACCACGGACTAAACCACTTACCATCATTCTTGAAAATATGTTCTTTTGTGTTCGTTTGTAACAACTTCAGGGTGACAAAATTATGACAGAATTTTCATTATTGGTTATATTTTATTGTACACTTATCTTTCATTTGTCTTTTTAGCCCAAGTGTATTGTCTTACTCTGATGCAGCAGGAATGGCCTTGATAACTTAAAACTGTTTATAATTTGCACCATTGTTCAGTGCAGGAAGTGAGAATGTTTTCTCGAACTTTCTCTTACTGCTCTTGTCCACAACAGGCTGTTTTGCTGGTCCATTTTGCATTTTGCTCATTTCACTTGCAAAATTAGATGGATAGCACTTTATTTTACTGTCCTGTTCCACATGTATATACTATATACTTATTACAATAATTCAATACAATAACTGGGTAACAACTAGGTACTAACCCCGAACCTACCCCATAACCTGACCTAACCCATGTGGTTGCATTATATTATCCAGTACTTTCCTGGGCAAGTACATAAAACAAAGTGCAACCATGAGATGTCTGCTACTAGACCCGACCCCCCCCATGTTCAATTCCAACCGAGTTCTCTTCGCAACAATCCAAGGTAAGTTTAAAAGTGTTTGTTTACACCCCCAAATTAAAACTTATCAACTACTCAGCCTCATTTTGTTCAAAACCTGTTTCTCCTTTTGTGATCCACAGGGAAAAACAAAAAAAAAACACAGTTTTCAGGGTAGGAGAGCAAGACAGATTAACATGTTTTGCAACTACACCTTTAATTAAAAACGGATAAAACTGAATAATTGATAACTTAAAACTGTTTATAATTTCTGTTTTGTAAAAAAATTCACAACAAAATAGGATTAGCAGATGCTCACCTTGTAGCCATTGTCCTCTTTTCTGTTATGAGACGCGGTGATCATGACACCAGCTGCAGCTCCATACTTCATCACAGCATATGGCTGGAGGGCAAAAAGTTGGAAAAACAATTCACAGGATTCCACAGAAGTTCTATTTTCATCATTATTATTGTTCCTAAGTATGCTTCCCAAATAACAACTTTGTTGAGTTCTTCTACTACTGTAATTTAAACACATAATAATAATATTAATAATAACTATTATTATGATCTATCAATAACATTTTCTTACCACAAATGGGGTAGGCACATATGTAGAGAATAGATAGACAGGGACATCTTTACAAAGCATAACAGCAGCAGTCAACCTTGCAAGTCTGCAGAGAGAAAAAAAAAGAAACCCCCCCCCTGCATTTTCATTCATTCATTCATTCATTCATTCATTCATTCATTCATTCATTCATTCATTCATTCATTCATTCATTCATTCATTCATTCATTCATTCATTCATATATATATATATATATATATATATATATATACAGTTAAGTTAATGTGAAAACGCAAAAATTACAGTAGAGTGGGTGAGTGAAAGATTTTAACAGCAACCTCTAACGCTATTGTTCTTATGACTCTAAAAATGTGCTTTCAGTGCATAAAGAATAAAATTGATGAATGGGCTCAGCACGTGCCTGAATGCAGCACCATTGTTCAGTGCAGGAAGTGAGAATGTTTTCTCGAACTTTCTCTTACTGCTCTTGTCCACAACAGGCTGTTTTGCTGGTCCATTTTGCATTTTGCTCATTTCACTTGCAAAATTAGATGGATAGCACTTTATTTTACTGTCCTGTTCCACATGTATATACTATATACTTATTACAATAATTCAATACAATAACTGGGTAACAACTAGGTACTAACCCCGAACCTACCCCATAACCTGACCTAACCCATGTGGTTGCATTATATTATCCAGTACTTTCCTGGGCAAGTACATAAAACAAAGTGCAACCATGAGATGTCTGCTACTAGACCCGACCCCCCCCATGTTCAATTCCAACCGAGTTCTCTTCGCAACAATCCAAGGTAAGTTTAAAAGTGTTTGTTTACACCCCCAAATTAAAACTTATCAACTACTCAGCCTCATTTTGTTCAAAACCTGTTTCTCCTTTTGTGATCCACAGGGAAAAACAAAAAAAAAACACAGTTTTCAGGGTAGGAGAGCAAGACAGATTAACATGTTTTGCAACTACACCTTTAATTAAAAACGGATAAAACTGAATAAAATTGTTCACCTACTAAATAGGTTAGGCATGGTGGTACATATGCCATTTTCTAGTTCTGAAACTCTTGTATGTGCAACAAACTTGCATGTACAAATCAAAAGATAATGTTTGTTGATGTATGTATGAAATATGTCAGATTATAAATACAGTGAAGGTGTATTTGGATAAAGACAGCTCATATAACGGAGTGGAGAGTGTTACCGTTCACTGGTGCAGCCACTACTAGTTTGGGCACGAGTGTCAAACCCGACCACCAGCCCTCTTGTTTTCAGGTCAGGGACATATTTGGCTAAGTACTTGTACATTCCCTACAACAATAATGAAGAAAAAACAGAGTTATCGTCGTTATCAAAAGAGAACGGACAATATGTAACTGCCAAAAAATTCAAGATATAAATCAAGCAAAACAACAAAGCATAAAAGCTTGAGGATCTGACTTACAACTACTACACTTTTGTAATGAAAACATCTTGGCCACGTTTCTATATTAGCCTGATATTTATCTCAATTTCATTATACAGTATATCCTGTTTACTTGTGTTGCACAGGGGCAAACAGGTAGGGGGTTGGGGGTTGGGGCTTGGATGAACGGAGGGCAGGGTAAATTTAAAGTCTTCATGAATATAATTATCAAAACAATATCCTATCTTACTGCACAGCATCAAAGCAGTCAATAATAACTTCAAGGGGTTGCCAACGTTTACTAGACTGTGGACTAGCTCTTTGAACTTTGTTCACTGCTGATTTGAGTGGCGATACTTCCCGTTTTAAGTGTCTGTTGATGGCCTTTCATTTTTAACCAGAAATGCACATGCAGCTTTTCTGATGTTCACTGAACTTCTCAGTGGATTTTGTCTAGTTGCCAAATCCAGTCACTTGAAATGTGTCCATTTTGGACCACCAAATGCCCGGCGGACACATGAAACAAAAACCCTGATCAATGGTGGGACTATATTCAAGCCAGTCCTAAATCGCATACCATTCTTTCCAGAATTTTTTAACATGCATTACTAGAAATAAAATTACTGGTTGATGTGGCCCAATCTGAATACATTTTCCACACATTTTTGGTCCTAAACTGGATCTCACTCAGGACGCAGCCTGTCTGTGGAGGCTTGGCTAACTTGGCTTCCAAATTAACTCACATCGGGGATCCTCCTATTTTGAATGAGTGACACTTGTGTGCTTAATTACCTGTCCTTAATTAGCAATATCTGTTTTTGTTTTCATTGAGAAGTACTTAGCTTAATTAAGTATAATCAAGTATTATAATTATTGGGATGGTTAGCCATTTTGTCCAATCATTTACTTTTCCCTAGTTTTCATACCAACAATAGGTACGTTTACATGGACACTTTTTGCTTCCATCGGAATGAATTAATTCTGATTGACGAATCCGAACGTAGTGTTTACATGAACGCTAAATAAAGTGATTGGGTTGATAGGCGCGTTTATATGTCACAAGCTTCTGATCGGATTTACTCTTTTGACATGCGCACACTGCATGAATATACAGAGTTTCCCGCTGTTGTCACCTACTGTTGTGAAAAGCACACGTGATATTTATCTACTTCGGGTCCTAATTAGGCGACGACCAGCACATGAACTGTTGTGCAGTGCTGCTTACTTTATAAAGCAGTAAAAGTGCCCCTGGATTTGAGACTTTAGTCTTTGCAACTTTACAGATCTTCTTTATGCACCAAGAGCTTGTAACACTCCGCCCCTTAAAGTAAAAATTTAAATCGCATCATATGACCCCTTTAAACAAGGACTGGTGGGACGTTGTGCTGCTCCACTTCACAGACACTGCGTGAAAGGGGAGTTTTATAATGACAGGACACTCATTTATGACACTTTATTCACCAGGCAGAACAGCTCGTTCCGCGCGTCATACGTCATTACGCTATTTCTACGTCACTGCGCATGCGCAGTACTTTCCAGTTTCGGTTTTCAATCCGATCAAGTGTTTACATGTCCTCTCGCTCGGATTACAAAAGGAATAAACCACCCCTTACAATCCGATCGAAATTTTAGTCGATTCTGGCCAATTCAATCCGATTGACGTGTTTACATGATCTGATTGTGCTTCTAGTCCTATTACGATCGGATTAGTAGGGTCCATTTAAACGCAGCTAATGATAAACTACTGTGGAAAATGAAGACATAACCTATTATTACTTATTATCTGCTGCTCATCAACGTGGAGATACACATATAAATATATACTTTGTTAAACAGTATTTCAATGGTAAAATCTGAAATTCCATGACTACACTAAAGAGACATATTGTCGTTATACTGCGATATATTCTTGCTATCACTATATGAATGAATTACGGATATCTGTACTGTCAGATGGGCTGTATTTTGCACTGACATTTTTATTGTTAAAATAATGCAAACAGAGTTGTTTTACCTCACACTAAGTGTAAGCAGGCCATTATATTTAAAGGTCAAATAATAAGATTCCATCTGCACACTGTTAACCTGAACCAACCTGTGTAGACTGGATGACAGTTAGGTCATTGATGCAAGCAAACCCCGCACTCATCTCCGCTCTCAATCCAGCGGTTCCAAATGTCATCCTGGAGCACAACCTCCTCCTCAGCTCCACCACATGCCCCTCTCGCACCAGAGACTCCATCTGCTTCCATGTCTGAGGATTCTAAAGAGACAAAAACTAGTGTTGCCAACTTATATTTCATTTTTAAAAATAATGTTTTTAAAAACTTAAAATAAATAAATAACATCCTTGAACCCATTCATAAAATGACCCCTAAGTCTATAGCCTATTCATTTGGAGTCCCAACATAGTTCCCAAAAGGTTTCATTTGGGGACTTTTTCCAGCAAATACTGATATGCAATCATTTGTCTAATTAATCGGCATTTCATTCATTCACGCAAATCAACTAACAGCTACGGTGACCGAGAAGTGCTAAACAAATCACAATTCTGAAAACAAAATAACAAATTACAAACGCAAATGCAAGTCTAAACTTTTAATAAAGTTAGAAAAATGTCATCACAAAGGTAAAAACTAAATTCCACTGTAAATCACTTTAAGGAGTCAAATATCACCTCGTAATGGGACGGCTAATTTTTTTTATCACATTTTGGATTACTGATTAGAAGGTGCTCCTAAATTTTTGACTGTGCTCCTAAATTTTTTAAGTCGTATCGTAGAGCCCTGCCGTTACATCCCTACAATGAACACATTGCAACCATGCTTGGGATGGCCCACATAAATGAGCAAAAATGCTTTACATTTCTTGAAATAATAACTTCTGAACATTAAACATTGACTGTCACTCTTTATTCACCTGTTCCTCGTGGTTTCTTATTAAAATTCATTAAAGTAATTAGTGTAAAATTACATTGCTAATGTCATAGAATAGCACATTGTAACGTAGTGTTACAACGTGCCCCATCTGCGCAACTGGAATTTAAAACTGGTTACTGTCTTCTGATAGTTAGCGAAGCTAAGAAAATAATTTAAACTGATAAATAACAGATTGGAGATTAAAATAATAGCAGATTTGTCTCATTTTAAATGAATACTAAAAACTGAGATGAAAAATTTACTTAAGCCAGAAATGTACTTTTACTATGGTAAAATAAATGTTCAGAGATATCTTCAAAAGATTTTTGAATTTTGGCGCACTTTTTCTCTATATAGTGTTGAAATGGTAACTAGTAAATACCATAAATTTTGTTATGCTAGCATGTGTGGAAATATTCAAACCACGTGTGTTACAACTAACCCCGCGTTACTTTGTGCCCTGCGCTCCCCTATCTAGAGTTACCTGTTACTAAATGAACATTTGGGGGATAATTTTTGTCTAACATGGTTAGTGTATTAGTGTACTTCTAAACATTGACAAAATTCACTGTTTTAACACCAACAAAATGTATCACAAAAATGTAGCCCGTATCCTGTACTACAGTAGATCATCCCAGTCCGTTGCCCACGTGTTTTAGAGGGCACTTAAAACATGAAATGGACTTGGGTGCAGAGCTGAGTAGATTACTCACAATTTGTAATCTGTTACTGATTCCAAATTACATGACAAACATTGTAGTTAGTGACATAATCCATTACATTACACATTTTTGGTAATCAGATTACTTTTAGCCTTGTACCATATTGATAAAAATGCAAAGAAAAAGAAAATATATTCCATTTGTTGTTTTTTGACGTGAATGTCAAGGTTTCCCATGGGGTTCGTAAAGGAACTGCAGGGGGGTTGTGAGTTTAAAGAAAAGCAAATAATTAATTCAATCATAAAAATGTAAAAAATAAAATGAATAAATAATTTTAAAATAACATCAATCAACAACACAAACCACAAATATTTATTTTAAAATATCAGGGGTACTTCAAGTAAATATATTAGGTGAAAGAGGTTTGGCTGACAAAAAGTTTGGGAATCCTCGCATTGCACGTAAATATGAAATAACGTGAATTTGTGCATTTTAATGTGTTTGAAAGACAAAAGCCTTCCAAAGACAAAGTAATACATGATTAAATAACCCTATGCATGTTCAGCAGTAGTTGATGTAATGTTGAAACCAAGCGGCAACCTCCCGCTCTCTCTCGTGAAGCCAACACGGAAGTGACTTAAACTGTAATTCATCAACTGGCCGCTAGAGGCTGGCTGCAAAAGGGAGTCAATCCCATAGACTCCCCATGTTACAATGCCCAACTTTACAGCAGAAAAAAACATGTTTGTTGCCTGGTTCAAAAAATTATTTTGGTCTATATAGCTAATTCAGGAACCTACGGGTGATGTCACGGACACTACGTCCATGTTTTATACAGTCTATGGTTGAAACGCTAAGAAAACACTTCTTAAAACTGAAATGATTTTTGTAAATCCAGTGGTCAAATGCTATGTGACCTCTCAATTTTCTGTGTAATTATATCTAGTGACTGTTCTTTGTGTGAATGTCTGCAAAACTAGAGGACTTTCTGAGTGTATATAAGCGGTAGGCTATTTTAGAAAGGAAAATTTAAAAGATGAAAAAGAAGAAGTAGGGAGAATCAATAAATTATGAATAATTAATGCTATTGTGTGAATAATATGTAATCATGTAATCAATAAAAGAGTAACTGTAGTCTGATTACGAGTATTTTAAAATGTCATTTAAAATAGTTACAAGTACTTTTGGAATCTGATTATGTAATCCAGATTACATGTAATCAGTTAATACCCAGCTCTGGATGGGTGTAGGGTGTCTTTCTGAAAAGCCTTTCAATGTCACAAAAATATTGTTGGGAAAAAAAATTTTCTTTTTCAAAATTTCTTCAGCAATAACAAAAATGAAACACAAATGTGTCATTTTTGCTTATTAGTATGGTTGAATTGGATCATTGGTTAATAAATTGGGATTAAATACATAAATTATATTTGTCTTATTTAACATTTAATTATTGCAGTTTTGTATAATATTCTGAGTTTGCATTTGACTGTTTTTATTCATTTTGAGGAATACTGAATCTGTTTTTATGCAGGTGAGATTTAGTCTAGAACTACAGTAACATCATGTTCACACAGCAGTGCACACACCGCCTCTGCACTTACTCCCAATTTCTCTCAACTTGAAGAAAGGAGAGCTGTCATCAATACATGGGAAAACAAAGTAACTGGTGTTACTTATTTGAAAACGTAATTTTGATATTTCCTTCTTAATTAAAAAGTAATGTGTTACTTTACTAGTTACTTGTAAAAAAGTAATCCAATTATGTAACTTGTGTTACTTGTAATGTGTTACCCCCAACACTAGCAGCAACAGCATCTACGTCACACAAGACAGACCCTTTGATTGGTTTTATATTAGTCCAGTTAATGTAAATGAAACAATGGTTAACACGGGTAACATTAATATGGATGTAATTTTTTGTTTGTTTGTTTGTTATATTAGAACAACATGAAATACAACACAAAATAATTCATACCTTTACCTTAAGCCTAAAAAGGGCAAGACCATAAAGAGACATTAGAAAATTAATTTATTGCTATTTTCTATATTATTAGGACACAAATAATAAAAAAATTTTTTTAAACTTCACTTTGATTTTTTGTTTTAATGTTTGTATCCCCTGGGCTACGTGGGGGTATAAATTGATTGAAAGCAGAATGCTTGTTTGGCAATGCATGCTACAACACTTCAGCTACATTTTTAAAACATTTTATTCTCTCAGAACTTACAGTAAATATTTGTTGCAATATTGTGTTAAACAATAATTATATGCCTATTTATGGATGTTAGCCTACTGTATCATATTTGATGTGCAAATTTCTAGGGCCTATAAATTATTAGCATGATCAAACTTTGCTGATCAACCTGTATGCAATCTACTTCGTTCCTTCTGCCCTCTGATTGATACAGTTCATGCCTTTTTAACAAGTAAAGTATTTGTGATGTGAAATTTGTATAATGTAAACGTAAGAACAACTTTTACATTGTTAGTAATAATTCAAGATGAACATGTACTGGGGTCCATTCTTCGTATGTGGATTACCCAGTCAGCTGGATTTTATTGTTGGCGGTTTGACATGATCCAGGATTGTTAGGCTCGTCAAAGCTCATCCTGGAGTTGCTGTTATAACAACAGGTCTGCTAGCTCAATCCTGCTTGGGAGCAGGCTTATTTCACATAAACAGGATTAGATTGTATAATTTTAAGTGAAGGTGATACTGAAAGTCTGTCCCAGCTACTGCTTTTTTTTCTTACAAGTGTGTTAAACCAGGAAAAATTATAAAAAAAAAAAAAAAAATTTTTATTTATTTTGAAAATAATTAAAATGTTGCATAATCTAAAATAATAGACATGACCAGTTTTACTCATTGAGAGATTTATATATGAAGGAATAATTATCTCATAATTTTATTGCAGTTATATTACGTACACTTTGCCGTGCATTGATTTGAATGGTTGAATGGATTTCCAGTGTGGTTGGATGCATTGATTACACACATATTCTCACCATCGCACCTTCCGAAAATGAAGCTGATTACTGTATGGAATGGAAGGATGCCAGTAAAATACAATATTTAGTCTTGTTTCCTGGGGGAAACAAGTAAAATTATCTGCCAGTGGCGTAAGAAAAATAATCTTAATGCAAATGGAAGCAAGATTATTTTTCTCACCGGACCACTTTCATTTTCATCATGCAGATTTTGTTTATTTTGTTCTGCTGCCATGTTTTTTGTTTTTTTTTTTACCTGTGGGATAGCCTACCATGAAAATGAAGATTAGTTCAATAACTGAACGTTCTGCCAGTTTTCACCTCTGATATTACAACAGTGATCAAGAATTAAAGTTACGTATTGCGTAGTATGCTGTTGCAATGATGAATAATAATTTCGGAGCTCCATTGATCATGGCTTTTCATAGTTGTGGTGCACACGCTAAACTCAGAGTCAACATTCTCAGACTGGATTGAACTAACTCTGTTCAGCTGTTCTAAAACTGAAAACTCAGAGTTTCCCATCTCAGGGTAAGTCAACTCAGAGTTCAAGTTTTAACTCAGAGTTTGTTGAACCTCCTTTCTGGAATACACCCCTGCACTTCCACTGCCTCTCCCCACAGCCTCTCAAATGTTTGGATCCCCCTTGGTAAGTCTTCCCTTTAAGGGTTATGGGTGTCTCCTCTCTTT